AGCAGTAATTTTAATATAAGAACACTACTGCAAACATGAGAAATAGAAGTAGGTTCACAACCTGTCGACTGCTGCACAAACATTTACAGCAGAGTTCCAAAATTTACAAGCATCTTATGACTAGAAGCTTCAACACAAAAAAAGAATTGAAATAAAATATGATTTCTGATGGCACAGGATAAAGGACAACTACCTTTCACTCTGCTATTCTCAAAAGTTTGCCTACAATCAGTGTGTATCCTTTCTCTATTATCATTACAACCAGAAAAAAAGATAGTCTACCAACTTTTGCTTTTTTCTTTTTTATCCTAATATTGCTTTGAATAACTTTCTTCTAGAGATTTGAAATAAAAGTATATTTCATGAACTTATTTCATTAAGTACTCTTAATGTACAAAAGCGATATGATTTCATGTTAGACAGCCTGAGGTATTTATGAATTTCACAAGATGTAACAGGTGATTGCAACCTCAGGCTAGTCTTATCTATACATCATACACTCGACCACTGTGGCCCTGAGTCTGGCCAACAGGTGTTGCATATGTCCTTCCACTCTGACTAGATATGCTACTTTCAGTGTTCTCTCCAACAAAGGTCTTCACAGCACTTAGTGAATCACCATTTAAAACTTTATTTCCTTCACTCTGAGAGTTCATGATTAACAAGGGGGTCCCACCACAGGACGACAACACATCCGGGGTTATGGCACTTGGGGTATTTTGGTTGATAACATCCTTGGCACATGAATCACTGGGACTGACATCTGGCATCATCACAATGTTTGAGTCTGTTGCGGCTACTTGCTTATAGTGAGGCTGAGAGGCATGGAGCTGCCAAGAGTCAGGCTGCGGAATGCTTGACATGGAGTTACTGGCGGTGATGGGGAAAGAGCGAGAAGAGTTTACAGGTAGGCCTATGCCATTTTGATCCACGCATGCACTGGGCAATACAACCGGATAATGGGGATCTTCACGGTCAGCAAGGATGCTTTTATTAGTCACACTGGGGATGCTGTTGGGATTATTGCTACTAGCAAATATCTGTGGAGGGAGGCTATGGTGCAACATGGCAGCACTCACATCATTGTCCAAACGGGAACGCAAGTCATCACATGTCCTCTTGCTGGTCACAAGTGCCTCCTGAAGTGAGCTGATGGTCAGACGCTGCTCTCCAACCTGTAATGTACATGCAGATTACATTAATGTGTATTCTAATCCGATTTTTTAAAATGTGTTTCCAACCTTGCTTACAAAACAAAAAAAACTTTTTGACCACCATCCTGACCAGGGGAAACATAATAACTAAAAATTTATAACACAAAAGAGTACTTCAGCACAATAAAAACATTTAAAAGAGACTCCTTTCCCTGTAAAAGAAAAAAAATGTACCTCCTTCTTCTTTTTATCAAGCTCTGTAGACATTTTAAGAACCTCTGACTGGAATCTTTCTAATGTTAGTGATTTGTCATTCAACTGCTGCGAGAGTGATGTGTTCTCTGCCTCCATCTTCTGAATTAGTTCTGTCTTCTTTTCCACCTGTGTAGAGAACATGACACTCTTAAAGAATCATAGTTAATATTAAGATCTGAGTGTAATTACAAGACATTAATCATCAAATCTATCTATTAAAAATGCAGTCTCTTCCCCAGATTCTACCTGTCTACGAAGGTGTTCTGCCTGGCCGTGAGTTCTCCCAACTTCCAACTGGAGACTCGTGAGCTGACCCGTGAGATACTGCATCCTCTCTCCATTATGTCCGCCTTCTCGACGTACAGAATCCAATTTCTTTTCTAGCTGTTGTAATAAAACCAAAATTTTTACTACACCTCCCTTGCACAGCACAACATTCTACACATTCTCTCTGTTCAGAAATGGTAATCCACAGGACACAACATTGGCAAAAGCAATGGCAAGATTCCTCTCTTCCTTAAGTTTTTTGTCATGTTACCTTAGAGAGCGTCTCATCCTTGAGGTGGAGCTCCTGACGCGATGCTGCCAGGTGACTTTGAAGCTCACGTAGAAGGACACTTTTCTCTGCCAACTGTATGCACACACAGGGGCACATGGGTCAAGGAAGGAGACAAAGTAGCAGTTAGCAGCAAGCAATATGGGGAAGCAAGATACACAAAAATGCACTCAGGAAATGTTTAGGGCTGAATGTCGGTGCTCTCAAACTATAAATTACCTTTATTGTTTTTGTGTGTACTTTCACACAGTGCATCTATGCTTCAGTCTGCAACTCAGACCTTAACCAACCTTAAATTTATGACTACTATCTGTTTTCCAAGTACCAACTATTCTCCTATTTGAGATATATTTTACTTATTCAGGCCTTGTTAGCCATCTCGCCAACAGAGTCTATTATTTCAACCCTGACCTATAGTAAAGAAGGCATAGGATTGTACAAAAATATATGAGGGGGATGGGGGAAGCACAGCAGAAAAAGTAAATAGCATAAAAAGAAATTACTTTCAAGCATAATCAATTTTATCAGGGCAAAAGCCACCCAGAACTGAGGAAATAATCCTTAACCTATGAGCAACACACCTCGTTCTCCAGTTTAGAAACTTGGGACGACTGTGAACAAAAGCCATTCACTGAAGGTCCCTCTCTTGTGCCCTTGTCCATATGATTCACCTCCTGAAAGTAAATGCATTTGCACCATTAAAATCACTGCAAGGCAAAATTATAATTTCATTTGCAATAAGTGGCACTTCTGAAAAATAAAAGAGGCAACTTAGTTGATATAGCCTTCTTATCTGACTTGGGAGCCCAATATATCAAACATTCTTATATGGAGAAATACAAAAGAACATTCAAAAAGTATTTTGACATAATATCTACAGTATGCAATACATAAATCCTTAAAGTTGTAAGTCATGTTTAGGTAAAATGTATTGGCTATCACTGTCAGATATCTGAGATCTTGTGCAGATAGTAACTTTCAGAATTTCAGTAAACTTTATCCATGTAATTCATCAAAATTATGAAAACACTAGGGTAAAAAATGATGACACAAATGCTGCTGTAGTCACAAGTCAGTGTATCATTTAGGAAGATGGTGCATACAAAAATAAAATAGTGGTATGTTTACATATTCAATAAAAGTGTCACTGCCAAAATAAGTAAATCTGCGGCTTAATGACATCTATTGTGTCTAGTGGAAGATTAAGTTGTTCAAGCAAAATAAATGTGTGAAATCAACATTGTAAAATGTTCTCTTCCACAATTAAAGACATGACACTGCCACAAAACCTACCTCTGCTGTCTGTGTCTCAGCAGCTTTTATTTCCTTAGCTGAAGTTTGTACAGCAGCTTCCAGTTGAATTATATCACTCTGGAAAGACATTTCCCTCTCAAGATGTCTTACTATTGTTAAGCTAATATAATTCCCCAAAGGATTTAACTAACAGTTCATCTACGACTAATAAAATAAAACTGTGAAAGAGCTGAAATATAGAAAATTAGTTTAAAGCATGCAGTTACTCTAAGAGAGGACACAAGTCTACAGCCTGGGAATCTCCATTTATTTACCTTTCCAATATTAGTTAAAGGCCTCTCCTTACACTCTCGTACTTCTTTCCGCAGATCTTTAACCACCTCAGTCTTGAGTTGGAGCTGCATCTTTGTCTCATGGTGCCTCTGCTCCTCCTCTTTCAGCTTGTCTCTGAGGGCCACCAGTTGGTCGTGTCTTTCAGCCACTTCGGCTGTTAGTACTGTGCGCAGCTCCACTTGGTTCTACATTAGTAGAGTATCAAAGAGGGATGCAGAATGTTATACAAAGGGCTAGCACAACCATATGCTCTGTGGATAAAATCTGGAGAGCCAGGGATTGTTTGTATACAGTTAAGACTGGGTCCAAACCACAAAAGCTACATGATGCTAATATTAGTCAAACTCAAAAGCAAACCAAACAATTCCTTATCCACATTTTAAACTTTCCCTTTCTGTCTGCTGGGTTTCAAAGCAATTACCATTCCTAAGGTTAGACTTTTTATACCACACTTGGTGAAGTAAGGTACTCGAGTTCTGTTTTTTATGGTTATACAGCTTACAAACTATTTGTTATTTTGGTGGCATGATTATCTTTATACTGCACATTACTCTGAAGGGAAAAAAAATAGTTTTGGATGGTAGTCTTACATTTATCTTGTTTATATAGCTATCTTAACCCATAAGATCCAGGTGCTTCACTTTCATCGCATGGCCTAAAAATGGGTATCAGGCTTACTTGATTGGCCAAACAGGTGTGTGACTTGTAAGCTGGGCACACGTGAACACTTAAGACTCTATGCTTCCCTCTTGTAATTTTATTCTCTATGTCTGCATAAGCATCTTTAGCTTTTTTGCCATTTTCTAGTGTCCATATTTGTCAGTTGATTTGCTTTATCCAGATGGTAATTGACCGTTTTCCATGCAGACTCCATATCATCTCTAGGCAGTCCATAACTCAGTGCAAGAATAATAACAAGAATAACTTTTTGTTTTTGTAATATTCAGTTTTCTGAAATACTACTGGTACCACTGGCCACAAGAGCCAAGAATAGGATTCTGAGCATGGAAATAGCGTCCTCCCTGGAGCCAACATTCTTCCAGTCATAGCTCACAGAAAGGACATTCCACACCTTTATCAATGGAAATAATGCAAAAGCCCCTTCCTAAATGCCAAATGAGTCTAATCACCCCCCAAGAGCTTTATGCACTTGTGGTCAGTCACTTCTGGCATTAAGCCATAATGTTCACAACAGCAAGTTCACATTAACCAAGCCCACAGCCAAATTCTCCTATGACAGTATGTTCATGTCACCCAGTCCTCAAGTCAGTTTTTTTCATGTGATAGTCATCTGGATCATAGGGGTTAATATTACTGTCATTAAAGGAAATACACAAATATAAAGTGTTCAAATACCACCAGAATGAGAAAGGGATAAGTTAATAACAAACATCAACACACCACTTATTAATCTACCTCAGAAATACTTTATACTTCCAACACATCTAATATTACAAACACTTCCTACACCAAATCTATTACAGTATTAATTAAAATTGGACTTGAAAAGCTTGTGCTCTAGCAGACTATTACATTACCTCAAATTCAGACTCTAACATTAAAAATGACATAAATTACAAGACATGTTGTGTTATGATAACATGCATCTATAGAAATCCATATAAGTTGTTATACCTTGTGACCTTTATACAAACTGCTGTAGAAAAACTAAAATCACCAACATTTATTCAAAATAAAAAAGCGTCTCAAAACACACTGGAAAACGTCTCAACTGACCTGATGTGACCTGGCGAGTTGATCTTGTAGCATGGAAATGGTTGGGGCACAGAGGGCATGCGTGTCCTTCAGGGAATTATGCGCCTCACGCACCTGAGTACACTCTTCCTCCAGCTCAGCCAGGCGTCCAGCCAATATATCTATGTTTTCACTCAGCTGCGATTCCACCTGCAGAATTGCCCCAGGATTATCAGCTTTACAGCAGGTTTGGTAAAACTTTTATAAAATATTTTAACTATTATCACTATACTTTGTGAAGAAACAATCTAGAGATTTATAAAAATCGTCCATATTTCACATTTCACAACATAAATTGACTAAACAATATTCTTACATTGTTATCTCCTGTAATAACTGAATCGAGATCACAAAGAGACGTATATGAACCTCTAACCGAATCCTTTTTGGTCTGCTTTGATAGTAACTGACGTACAACTTCTTCCTTTCGAGTAATCTAGAAAATAAGTGTTTGTCAAGTTCAAAAATTTTGTGCATACTTCAAAGCAGTTGTCTCATTTTTTTTTCTATTTCTTTGTTCCGGATATATATTGAAGATATCAAATTTACAAAATGTGTATCATAAAAGATATTCCCTCACCTCAATAGTTTCATGCCTGCTACGGTGACGAACCTCCTGCAAAGTATGGTTGACGCTGTTTACTTCCGCTTGAGACAATGCAAGTTCATGGTGGAGCTCTGTCAGTTGCATCTGTTCCAACATAATTCATATTAAGTAATAATGCTGTCATTCAAAGATCGACGTGTGGGCAGGTAGAAGAATAGAAATTAAATAGAAATTACTTTTTGAAAGTATAAGCACCTGTGAAGAAACACACCTAATCCCAATACAGCTTATATACCAGAGATTCCCAACCTTTTCATTCTGTGACTCCCACCCAATATATAATAAATTCCATGGCCCCATTCAGTGACTGTCATCTTTTCAGATTCAGTTATTACTAGTTATGAATAGTGTAATGGTGCCAGTAGCTACAGGACAAGAATACTTTATCAAAAGATTCCAACTTATTGATAAGTAAGAGATAATTATGTGCTGATACTGCAGGTGAGATAGAATTCATTTCAATTCGACATCTTAATTTTCATATTGCTCCAAGGCCCTCCAGAAAGTACCCCATGACCCCCCAGGCTGGGCACCCCTATTATAAACAATGACTCCCAATATATCTTAAGCCCTTTTCAAAATGGCAAAATTAACAACACTTTCCAGAACAACTTTATACGACTAAAAAGTCTAATGTTTTCTAATTAAATTTGTTGATAATTATGGAGCACATCAGTAAACAAACCTGTAAGTCTGCTATCTGTTTATCTCTCTCAAGAAGCTGTTGGTTGGTTTCATCTTGGGCCGACTGCAGGCTCCGCAGGTCAGACCGCAGTTTCATGATTACTAATTCTTTCTCAGACCCTCTGCCTCCATACATGCTGCTGTCTCCATCCTACCAAAACAAAAATAACATAGCTGCTTATATAATACAATGAGAAGATAACACATTATTGTAACAGATGAATAATCTAATATCTACGACTACCAGATAGGCAGCCTGGCCATTTACTATTCAATCACTCTCCAGCAACCTTGTATGGTTAAAATGTATTACACAGAATAATGATGTTTTATGCCTAAGACTTCCCTTATTTGGGGCTGATGCAATACCCTTCCAAGGGAATCCACTCACCTGAAGATTTGAAAGTGAGCTTCTCAAGGAGGAGCTGTCTTTCCTGAGGTGCTCTTCCAGCATGTGTTGTATGTAGTCATGTTGGCTCTCCTTCAGTGACTGAGATGACCTCCTGATCAATAAAAATACAGAAGACCAATCTGTTAAAAACACACTGGGTATCTTTCAGCAACTTAATAAAAAATAAGAAAAAGGAAAGAAAATCTCCTAAAAATATGATAAAAAGAATAAGAAGCAAAAACAAATCTAAAAATATGCTGGTTCTCTTTTAAGTAACTTGGATGACCTCCTGAGGAACAAAACAGTGAAAAGCAATCTGTTAAATCATAACCACTCATACACACTATAAGATGACAGATCAGTTATGTATAGCAAATTGTTATATTTTGGAGTGGATGATTTTGGAATATAGACCTTGACTCACGCAAAATGTCACATATCAGTTAACAGCTCACCTGGATGAAGATAAGACAGGGCCAAACACTTGCTCTGGCGTGACACATGAGAAAGT